TTTAGGTAGTTGTGAGTGAATGAATGATTTTGTCATAAAACGTTCACTAAACCTAATTATTTCAGTTAAAACGGAACGTTTAGTGCAAAAATATTCAGTTTGACAGGACAGTTCCAGTTGACTGTCTGTCAGTGTCACAATTTGGATCTGTAAGCGGTTGTTTCAAAACTTTTATAAGTTCATCATCACTCACTAGGGCTATTCTGTTGGACATTTTTATAATTTTCGTTTTAATATGCAGGGAGAGAAAAAATACCCTAGTGCCCAACAAAAACTATTACTATTTACTTATTCCAACTTGTGGAAGCAGTTTTTGGTCTGTAAGGTTACTTTATGGAATACTTATAGACTAATAAAATTATGAAGCAGAATTATTTACCTTCGTTTTTAGGTCTATTTTTGTGGTATCCTGAATTACAGGAGCCAATAGGTCTATTAAAACTCTGATTAAATCTTTATTTAATCTAAAGTTTTTAATAACTTCGCTATCGCTCAAGTCGTAAATATCGACGACGGGATAAGTGCGCTGTTGCCGCCGTGTATTGGCCAGTCGCTCGCCACTTTCTAACATCTCCAAGATAAAAATATTAATAAACTCGTCCATGTTTCAAGTTCCAAGCCCAATCGTGGGTACACAAATTAAAGACTGTTATTTACGCGAAGGTCGTCGTTTCAAGAAAACACAATACACAAATTGAAGAGTCTATACTGAATTTCCAATGTTCATACTTATAAGATGCCAAGCCGTATTTTACTTTAAAACGAAAGAAAAGAAAACACTGTACAATTCGAAACTCAACGAATTCACAGAAATGGCGTATCTCAGTATCTCTACAATCGACATGCCATCTCTACTGCTCAGAAGCACTCGACATGAACTCTAACGTTAGCCTTCGACAAATGTCGCATTCGACATCTCCAGAATAGCAACTTTTAAAATTTGACGAAAAAATGACGTCATTAGACATTTTTGTCGAGTTCGACATCATCTCTAAAGCCGAGAATTGGCCCCCTGCCCTCCGTTGTCGATGTCGCGTCTTAAGGTAACCGATTGAACAATTCAAAAGTTATCTAGAGCAAACTTTTATAAGGATTGAACCATTCATTAAAACGATTGTTATGGGTAAACTATAAAAGGTAGACATATGCTCTCGCGGACTTTTTTAAAAATAATGTTAAGATAAACAATTCATCTATAGAACATTTTTGTATAACTTTAACTATATGCTCAGCGCACGCCACGGAAGGTCTCGGAAACGATACTTTTCCCCCGTTTTTAAAAATTTTATTTTTGGTTACTGCTCCACAACTATAGGACCTAGCGTGATATTATATAGCCTATGTTACTTCTGAATAATACAGCTTTCGAATGGTGAAAAAATTATTGCAATCGGTTCAGTAGTTTTTGAGTTTATTCATTACAAACATACAAAAATACAAAAATACAAATCTTTCCTCTTTATAATATTAGTATAGATATTCATTGGCTATACTATACTGGTAGTTAATAATTATTCGTTTATTGGGCGTTTTTTGTGAGGTGGAGTTGGTGAACTACCTATTTTAAGTCCATAATTACTACATGGGTCCTGGCATAAGGAATCGCTTTCGATCGATAATTTCGAGTGACTTTCCGAAATTATAAATACTTTGCAGCACGAAGTCATAAGCACGGAGTGTAAAGAGAGACGGACCTCTGAGTTTGTTTCGGCATTTCTTCTCAGAGTAGTCAGTTAGGAAATGTCGACCTCATCGTTCGCTTGATAAACTTGACGTGTAAATGTACTGCCTTGTAGCCTATTTGCAGAAATAAATTCACTTGTTTCACTTGTAAACGGACCGCTCCCGAAACGCTGACAAAAATAAATTATTTTTATCTTATTCTTGCAATCGAGCAGTTGATTACAACTATTATTACATGAAAGAAACTTTTGATTCCTTACTTTCATGAAAATAGAACTTGTTTATAACTTGTTTATGTATATATGAATAGAACTTTTACCATCACTTTTCGGCGTTATCGGGAGCCTGTTTTCACCCTGTATATAGACATAAAACAATTCCGAACCCCTAACTCGAAGTGCAGGAGTAGGAACGGAGTGGTTTTTAGTCAATAAGAGTCTGACACTCCCTCCCGCCTCACCGTGGCGGGAGAATTCATTCGATGATTTCCCCCCCTTAAAAAACCCCTAAATATTATACAAAAGTTGGACTAATACGTACCTACCAATAGGTACGCGGAAAGTAAAAACAGTGTCACTATTTATGTGTGGCAAATTCGACAAGTATAGTTTTCTATCGCCTAATCCACCTTGAGCGTACGGCGAAAGAGCCATCAGACCACCTCGCCATCAACCTCAAAGAGCTATCAGACAACACCACGGATGGGGCTCAATAGCGCTGATGCCGATACGGAGCCACGGAGAACGTAAGCGGTTAGCGGGGGGGGGGGGCTCCGGCTCGAAGTGCAGGGCTAGAAACAAGGGGTGGTTTTTTCAGGAGTAGGAACGGGTTTTTAGTCAGTAAGAGTCTGAAACTCCCTCTCGCCTCACCCAGGTGGGAGAAGTAATTTGATGTTTTTACCCCGTAAGAAAATCCCCTAATCAACACTAGAAAAATACACAATATAGCCACTTAGTGCCACACGTTCGTGTGTATGTTACATGTCGTGAGAACACAATACTACTATAAAAATAAACGTTTATTCAGTACCTAGAATAGTATCAGTACTGCAGTAGGTGTTTCCAGTGACATTGGACAATCATAACACTGGTATTTGCCTGAGGGTCGTTACTCACTACCTTACAGTACATTACCTGATGATCACTCTCGAGGTAACTATGATAGATATGTATCATAACGTCACGCACACGATTTTCTTATTAAACTTCATCTTCAAAAACATCAAAAATCTTAACTGATTATCATGTAAATTGCTCGTTTATAATTAGTTGGATCGATTTTTTATTGTAGGTAAGGTATCCTTGAAATAGTTATTTTAATGATGATTAAAATTGGTTTTTATTAACTTTGATGTAATGAGAAAAACGCCTATAGAACTGACTGTTGCCAGTTGCCGTGCAACGTGACGTGTAGCGGGTTCGATTCCCGCAACTCTTTGTGTGATCCGCAAATTGTTGGTTCGGTTCTGGGTGTCATGTGTATGGTGAACTTGTATGTTTGTAAACGCACCTACGATACAGGAGAAAAGAAAATCCAAGTGTGGGCCAAGTAAAAAAAAATACTTGGGATGTATTTCCCACAGCGAATGGGTATTTAAGGAAATATGACTGAAATGAAATTAGTTGTACGGGTTCTATGCAAATAAATAAAAAGAAGTTGCCTATGGTTACTTTTTTTTAAACATATTATTATAAGTTGTCTCAATAAGAACCTGTTTTACAATACCTAATTAGTTTCTATTGGTCGAATTGCCGGACAATTTGAAATATTTATCTTCTACACGAAATAGAGCGGTAGTTATCTTAATTAACAGTGGTGAAGCAAGCCCTTATGTCTAATTATATTATCGAATATTGAAATTATTGAATAATTTAGACGCCACTAATAAAATTCTCTTACCCACTCGTAAAGTAAATGTAGAAAAGATGGATGAAAGTAGAGTACTGAAAGAAGTACCTATACCTACAGAGCGGATATGAATGGGCCGTGCGTCGGTAGAGGGCGCCCTATACCAGATTAGAAAGAATTAAACTTTTACACCTATTATTGTGTCTCTCTGCTTCACCCTAAGGTTGACTGTTGTCGCAGAGAACCTAACGGGTTACCGGGGCTACGGCTCGAAATGCAGGAGAAGGAACGGGGTGGTTTTTAGTCAGTAAAAGTCTGACACTCCCTCCCGCCTCACCCGGGCGGAAGCAGTAATTCAATGACATTTCCCCCTTAAAAAAGGTTGACTGTTAGAGATTGCCATTGCCACTAGGCATTAAGTCCGCCATTGTATTGTACCTATTGTACAAAAGTTTAAATAAAGAAGGGCCAAATTAAAAGTACCCTATGCGTGAAAAGACCGGTGACTGTCGATGACGAGAGCGAAAGTGGTATGTAAGTATCGTAGCAATTGGCGTTCCATAGTCTCTGCCTGCCCCCATGGGAGACAGGCGTGACATTATGTATGTAAAGTAAATAGTTAGCAACGAGTGAATTTTATTTGAAGTACGTATCTATAGCTGAACGGTAGTACCTACGTAGGTACTTCATAATTAATAATTCATATACACTTACTTTCAGTAATCATAATCTTAATTGGCGTTCGCAATATACGACGTATATATCTACCTATGTACAAACAGTTACTAGGTACCTATATACTTATACATTATGCTCCGTCTGTCTAATGTACATCGGTACCTTCTATCTCAAGTTACCATCTTCCCATTAATTTACATAGATTTTACGCAAAGGGATTCTACTGTTAGATAATGAACTATCAGTAACGTTTCTTGTTACTAAGATATTATTGTTCCAACGTCTGCGTTAAGATAAAGTAGTTATTTACCGAGTAAAGAGTAAACTCATAATTTATAGCGTTCTGTTAGTTCGCTCCGCGCCAACTTTATTCAAACAGTTTGTATCGCTGCAACTTACTCAACTTTGATAGTAATACTACGTTATGAGGTAGTTATGTACGATAGAAAGTTGATTTGTTATTATTCTTGTCTCTTTCAAAATGCAAGTCTCTTTCGCACGCTTATTTGGGCGGGGTCGAACTACTGCATTGTGAAGCCGAGTACAAGTCCCGCCACCTAGTGGCAGAATATTGTCATCATTCTACAATCGCGTCGGCGAAAACTTGTTATACACTTTGGTTGAAGTAGTGCCGCTACTCGCCCCGAGATGGCGTCACTTGTGTCTTGGTGAAAATGATTAAATTGTTATTTAAATAATATTTATTTAATAATTAGGTATTATTAATGTTAATGTAATAAATGAAATGTTTTAAACGGTTGTATAATATAGTTTTTATTTCTTTGTTTCAGGTGTTAGTGGAATATGATGGTGTAGATTGGCAACGTCGCGAGTGGGTGGCTGTTTATTCACGACGGACGTTTCGTGTTTTTTTAGTGGAAAGAACTCTTGTTTGGGCTCCTAGAACACACGAAGGAAAGGACGTGAAATGGCCGGCTTTGGTAAATATTATTTTGTTCTAATAGTGTTTGATAGATGGCGCTGTCAGTAGGATCCAAATATTAATTCTGATATAAATTAAACATTGAACCAAACTATTCAAGATACTGAATACTGTATAATTAATTGGAATAATGAATGGATGCCTGATGCCCTCAACTAGATTTAATTATTAATAACTTCTAACGACACGCGGCACCGTTTTATTCCTTAATCATAGACTAATAGAATTACTTACTATTTGTATTAAGTTAAGATCGACTTACAGGTAATGTAGATTCACCGTGTTATTAATTTCCTTACTTTCTACATTACCTATAACAAAAATCACGAAGCAAAAAATCTTCAAGAATTTTTCCCATCCAACATCCAAATGAAATTACTGAAACCTACACCTCTGTAGGTACATACATAAAAGAATGTGTAAATAAACTCAATAAACACGGGTACGGGGGTATGTTTTATATGTTTATAAGGTTACGTGGCTCCACACGTGTCGTGTCCTCGGCGACCTCCATTCGTGTCAAATTCACACGCACACGCACCCCCTATTTACGTATGTCGGTCACGTTTTGTGCAAGTCTACATACGTCTGAGGTCGCCACATTTTGATTTTGTACGCAAATCTTTGTGTGACTGACACGCGAACGCAAGTGTTCGTCGATACTGAAGATGTTTACGCGATTAATTTATATCTATGATTGATCTCTAATTCAATATGTGTTACATTCATTATTTCCTATAGAAATGTCATTTTGCTGGCTTTACTGTATGCTATTAGGGTATCAATATACTTGTAAATTATTATGTTTTCGGCTTACACACGTAACTGTTTGATGAGGAACTCGACTAGTTTCAAGCCATGCGATGCTACTGGACTATGTACTTCCAGTCTTCTATCCGCCGCGTCTCGCGGAATGCTGCTCATGAATATGAGCCTCTGGCATGCCTTGAAACTAGTCGAGTTCCTCGTCAAACAGTTAGGTACGTGAGTAAGCCGAAAACATATTAATTAATTAGTATGTCTCACACAAGTTTTAATATAAACAATATACTCGTACTTATTATTTTGTTACGCATGCAGTACCTACGTACGTACCTATACACCAAAACTACTAATCACCTATGTTATAGGGGCCGTAAAACATCTACCATACCACCTGTATCCTAAATTATGACCTTTATTTGATCTTAATAAACTTCATTGTTTGCGGGATATTTTTTCAGGAGTTACTTAAATTGTAATTCACTTTCTTTAGTTGTTATTTTTTGTTATTTAAACTTTAAAGTGAAGACATCAAAACTTTTCATGTTAGAAATAGTTAGAATGCATTAAAAGACGAAACTACCGACCAGTTATCAATTCTATTGAATGTTAAATATTATACATATTTGTTATCGACGATCAAAATTGCACAATTAAACCAATGCAAACAATCAATAAATAAATTGAATGCTAAGCTTAATTATGTATGCATTGATAAAATCTATTTCAATGTAAATAGCAGCATTTAATCATGCTTCTGTAATAAATCACGACTAACTGCACAGTTAGGCAGTTCTATTTGAACAAACAAATAAAACCTGTGTACTATTATCTATATTCTATGCGTGTAACAGCAACCGCAAAGCTATTAATCCAATGTCGTTGCTCTTTCTACATGCAGCGCCATCTAGTAGTGAGTAGCATTCACTTTAACAAGTACTAAAAGACTGGCAGTAATATATTCATCGTTTGGGTTTGATAAATTAAGTAGTGTCTATCTAGGTACTTGGTAGTGTAAATAAAGAAAAACTTAAATAAAAATTGTTATATTTTCTAGACAGGTAACTTTGCGTTATGAATTTATAAATAGATTACCTAGGTAACATTTTCATAGAAAATTAAAAGCTTAAGAGCTGACCTTTATATTTTAATTTAGATAAATAAACTGACAAAATGTTAAACAGTTTATTTTTAGAAATATAAATAACTCTGAGTTGCCGAGAACCTAATTGCCATTTTATAGCCTTGGTTATTTAGACTAAGTCAGGACCCAAACTTTAGCTAATTTAGGAGTAACTTCAAGAAAACTAGATATAAATAGCATGTGTAATTAGTACTTAGGCACATGGTACCACGTCCTTTTACGTTTTAACCGACTTCAAAAAAAGAGGTTCTCAGTTTGTAGTTGTTAGTGTATGTATGTGAGCCGCGGAGAACCTAACGGGTTACCGGGGCTCCGGCTCGAAGTGCAGGAGTAAGAACGGTGTGGTTTTTAGTCATTAAGAGTCTGACACTCCCTCCCGCTTCACTCAGGCGGGGAGAAATCGTTTGGATGATTTTCCCACCTTAAAAAAAAGTGTATGTATGCACTTGTCAGAATAGTGTTTGTTACACACTTATGAGAATTTTTTAATATAGTAACTAATCCACTTCAAAAAACAGAGGCCTTAGTACAAATGTAAAACAAACGTTTTACATTTAAAGTAATCGAAACGAAACCTCGTCCGGCGCTCTGATTGGTTGGTTCATTGGAGCCGGCCAATCACAACGCCGAACGCGTACTCGTTACGATTACTTTTAACGTAATGGAACCTCGTACTAAGACCTCTGAGTGGGTTGAAGCTAGTTTTCTTAAACATAGTATGTAAAACGATTATTATAATTATGATAATCTTATAATTACCTACTATCTCAATAAGACCAATAGGTGTATAGTATTTACTTTATTTAATTATACAGTACCTACAATTAATTATGCAAATTGTTATAGACGTTCATGCCGCTGGCAGCTGACCTGACGCTGCAGGCCGACGCCCAGCCGGTGGAATTCCTTCATGACAAACACCTGGAGTTCTTGGATTATGCCAATCTACTTCCTTATCAGGTAAGACTAGATACCGAGCATTTTTATATATATCCATAGTCGTTTAAAACTTTTTGTTTTTATAGGTATGTGAATAAAGTGTTTCCTTGTTTTGATTCCTCTGAGCTTTGAGGCTGGATGCGCGTCAATGTCAATAAATAACAAAAAAAATAGCCTTTATTCAACTATGCTCACAATTTTTCATTATTATAAATACCTAGTATATATTTTTTTTATTGTCAATGTAATTTCATTAATTTACTTGCATATATCTAGACTGCCTCGTTGGCCGAGTGGTTGCAAGTGCGATTGCCGGGCATGAGGTCTCGGGTTCGATACCCGGGTCGGGCAAAGTATTACTGGGTTTTAAAAAAATCTTAGTGGTAGCATTGAGTCTGGAATTGTGTCCAGTATATGGCAATAGGCTCACACCCTATTACATGGGAATCATAACATACAATGGTGAAAAGTGGGTGTTACATGGTACAATGTCATTTAAAGTGCCGAAACGTGCACCTCTGCCTACCCCATCGGGGATAAAAGGCGTGATGTTATATCAATACTGTTTTTATAGATACAATAAATATTATTATTCCTAAAACATGCAACTAATGTAAATAATAGTTTTCAATTATTATTAGTATGAAAACTATTTAGTAATTCCAACTATTTGCATTTGCATCGTTTAAATAGTCAATAAACCTTGTGAAAATGTGCATTTAATCAGCGTTTGATAGTCAATTAACCTTAGAGCAATGATAATATAGGTAATTAGTAAAGTTTTACTGCAATAGTGCTCGTACGACGAAATAGTGACCTTCTGTAAAAATAATGTGTCAAAACTCCGCTCAATGTCCTCATCCATGTCCTTGGGGCTTGCTCTTGAATCCAATTGCCTGTCCTGGCCAAAAGCCTGCGATACAGGATATTCTGCCTAGTACAGGCATTTACACTTAGTGAGATCTCTGATTTAAAACTAAGATGTTTATCTGTACTATGATCAATTTCTTATAATGAATAAAGATTTATTTATTTATTTAATTCCGATCGATCGACATTGGTATAGTGAAATTTCGTACTCTTGAGTTACAACACTAGCGCCTTTTGCATTCGTATTGCGTGGATATTAAATGAACTAAATGGTATTGAGTTTGGCTTTATATTCCGTACTCTAAATGCTATTTTAACAGCTACGATTTGGGTTGTATAGGTTTGTCATTGAATAATTATTAAGATTTTATTAGATTAAAATTGCATTGACATTGAGATTGGTTTCAAGAGTAAGCACACTTCTCTGATAAACCTATTTCTTTAAAATTATGGTATTCAATCCGCCAAAGCATGGATATTATGACAAACCTCTGTAACCTCTGGTCTATAGAGTAGGCCCACAATCCAGTATACAGTATAAATTCACGAGCAGTTCAACAATAGCCAATGAAATGAAAGATGAAGAAATTGTCAAAGCAGCCACGTTGAACCGGTAGTTCGAGTCTAACAAGACAGGTGGCGCTAGGGGTTATTGTTCGAAGCTTGACGCACGCATGCATCGGCATACATTATTGAATATATTATACCATGCGGGCACATTTACGCACGTAGGGTCTCACTGAGGCTTCAAATTGGATAGATAGGTATGTAGGTAGTACAAATACTTAATTGTGCGGGTAAGGACTTGCAATGACTAGATTAATTTATAAATAGTAGTTATTCGTGTTACGCAATGTATACTAAGCATGAGAAATTATAGTTTTATTTTTAAATATCACAGTAAAATACACAATTCGAAATATTTTCTAAACACACTGACATAAAATAACTTTCGAATATTAACAAATACAAAAAAAAATACACTGTGAAGTGTCAAATAAATAAGTATAAATAAAGAAAAAAAACCAACTACGATAAATTATTTTAATTTAATTTAATGCATTAATGAATAATGAATTAATGTATCATGCAACTAAAATCGTAAGATAAGTTGCTTGCTCAGTTGCTAAGCCGGTTGTAGGTCAAGTTGTAATCATTTGTGTGATTCCAATCAACTGCATGTCATTATGTAATGACCATGTTATGTCTGTCAATGACTTACATAACATTATTTGAAGGTGACAATGACATAACGTTATAGTGAGATTGTGATACCTTATGAATAGATGTTAATGTTTTGATGTGAATAGGTATTGTGATTTAAAAGGCAAAATTTTGTAAGACATTTTTTATAAATCGAATAGATTTTTGTCATTGTCCACCTGGTGGTAGCACGAAGGTGATAAAAATATAATTTTTGTGTGTAACTATAAGTGTGAAATAGTTTAGACAGTGTTTATAAATATAATAATGATAAATGGAGCAATCAGCAAATCGTATTAAAAAGTATCCGCGCAAACAATTTGTTTTGCTATTAGCCGACAGATGGCGCTACTGCACCGAAACGATCGAATTTTAAGACTTCACAGCATTTAGCTTCTGTATCCCAATTATCAAGGAAATGGTTGTAATAACAATAATATTTGAATAAATGAGTTTTATTTCATTAACCGACATTATTTAATTCGTTTAATTGGACAAGTATTCGGTAGATTTTGTAGCCCGTTGCGGAAATCCTGAGTAAATAAATTAAGTCATAATAAGTACTAAGTGAAAGTGCATACATACTTACATAGTAGGTACCTATGTAGGCCATTTAAAAGCAATGATACTTAACGATAAGAATAAGTCCGAGTTATAACTTGTAGTCCGTAAATACTTAGGTATATTTAAAAAGTTATTTTATTATTCAAGTCATTTCGCTATTAAAAGTAACAAATTGAGTTTGTTTGGTTGGTATAAGTACTGTATTGTGTATATTCGTTATTGGCATTAATATAATAATATTTATTACTAGCGACCCGCCCTGGCTTCGCACGGGTGCAATATGCATGTACTATACATATTAGCCTTCCTTAAGAATCACTGTATCTATTAAAAAAAACCGCATCAAAATCCGTTGCGTAGTTTTAAAGATCTAAGCATGCGAGTTTGTTTTATACTATCTAGTAATGATCTACAAAAACTTACATAGTCCTTGACATTTAACAAAGATTACTTTTCTCGAAGTAAAAACGTCAGAGTTTGCCGACGTTAACATAAATAGCTCGAGTTTTGAAGAATTCTTCTTTATTGTGTTACTATCTAGTTTTTAAATATATTACGTGAGATATTACGTCATTAAACAAACAATTTTTAGTTTTGTAATAAATGATTATTATTATTGCCAGCTTTATTTTGTTTTTATGTAATTTTATGTTATAAAAAGACATTTAATTTATGCTTGTTGTGATTAATTTATGCTGTAACCAATTAATCAGACTCCATTTATTTTTAATAATGTAGCTAATCAAGCGTATTCCACGTTTGTTTATAAATTAAATAATAATACAACAGCACTTTAGTTAAAATACATATAATTATGTTACCGTAGAGCAAATAAACATTTCATAGGCACGACCTCTTTTTCCTGGTTTACTAAAGTTTAGGTATAATTTAGTAATTCAGGGTAAAACTGGATTCATAACACAAATAACACCTGGCGGAAGAATACAATACTAACTGTGACTATACTCATAATAGCTACGATTGCATTCTATCAACGGAACTATCAAACCATTGAAAGATATAAACAAAGAAATTCTTCTCAGCACCCAGTCTTTTTAATACTCAGCCTAATAACACGATTTACGCAATATTCGTGAAAGATTATAAAAATAGCTAAAGGAAAATCAAAGTTTACTTTCATGAAAAGGATTACGTATGAAATGCCAAAGCCTATTAGCGCACGAGATGAAAGACGGACGAATGGTAAAAAGCAGAACGCATAAGCGACCCAATTTTCAGTGAGACGACGACACGAGTGTTTATCCAAAGTTGCGCGCTTTGGCGAAGTGGGGAGATCAAGGACGATGTCTGCCAAACATGGGGAGGGTTTCCCCGGGAGACGGGGCCGCAGGGGAGAGTCGGGTGGCGGAGGTGATCTGGCGAGCGGGGCGCGGTATGTTTTGATGCTCGCCGCCCGCTTTATTGATTTTCCGCGCCCGCTTCGCCCGAGCCTCCCCTTTATTATATACATATTCCGCGCCAGGTGGATGGTGGTATTGCCGACTGCCGTGCTATTTTCGGTTAGCCCCGGCCACGTCGCACCCGTGGAAACGTTATGATTGATCGGCTGCTACCCTACAAAAGCTAATTTCTTTTTTGTTTTGCAATTTCATCACAAAGTGGAGGTGCGGGCTCTACAAGTTTTGTTCGTTTTCAATTAACTAATATGTTTTGAGTTGTTGTAAGTTATGTAGGTGTCTGTAAGAATGTATTTTTATTGAGTTATGTAGCGTGTAATTATATTATATTGACTTTATATAAAAGCCATTTTGTTGTAGCCTCGACAGTTAAAATGTCGTTACGTCGAGATTTGAGAAAGTAATTTATTTTGTGTAGATTACATACAAACGCTCCAGTGGCCCTAAGCAGAATATTATTACGAAAAGGGATGTTCATTAATGTTAAATTTCCTTTCAACGCCAGCGAGCCGTGCTCCAGATCTTTAGTTGTTTTTTCTTTTCTTTGACATTTAACTTGATATTAAATTAAATTTATTTGAGAACGGCATCCTTCGCTTATTTTATGGAAGTTTAATTATACCAATTAAGTGAGGGATACCGGAAAGAATTTCCAGTGTTTTTAAAGTTGGAACGTCTGTCTGCAGCCACGTAAAGAATTACTATTTTATGTAATCATACGCAGTAACTTAAATATTTAATGTAATTGAGAATAGTATAGGTAAAACTTAAACTGACTAAGTTTTCTTTGTTTTTTGTGTAAATGGAAGTAGATAAATGAAGTATAGACAACATTTGTCTTGATTGAAACAGATAGACGTTACAAATGAAAAAGTTTTTCAACTACGAATATTGTCTTTGGTAGAATTCTTGAAAGAGTTTTGAAGTCAAGTAGGTACTATGTGTAATCTATGGTATTCGAGATAAAGGGAGTTGTTTGCTCTGTTATTAGTGAAACAAGTCGAGAACAATGGAAGTTACGTAACTCCTTATTGCCTTGGCGACTGGGGTGGATGTTATTGGTCAGATATATGGGTGAGCAAACATTGTTCTGAATTCCTAAGTACTTACCTTACGAGCTGTATTGTAGTATAATAGATTAGAGAACCCTAACAATGGTAATGACACACGACATTATTTCTACTATTATACACCACTAACAACTTTCACGCGGTTTCACCCGCTCTGCTCAGCTCCTATTAATAGGGTAGTTGCCTAAAGTTTATTTTAACATCCGTCTGGTAAATTAATTTAAAACATTAGACACGTGTTTTTTCTTTACTCACAAAATTAAATACTTTCGACGATATAATAATCTGAAATACTCATCACGTGACGTCACAATACGCTACATTTTGTAGCATTTAGTGACGTAACGACCTAACTCCTAAACTTAACTCCATTTTATCTAAGTATTGTAACTTTATACGAGAACATAAAAAATACGTGTCTAATATTTTTCATTGTCTAACTGACGGACTAATTAGATTTTTATAGCACCTAGCACCTAGCTTCACCTAGCTTCACTGACGGACTGACTGACAGACTATTATTTATTTTGTATTTGTTGACGTTTCAAAAGTACCAAATTATGGTTTAATCGAAATATGTGCTTTGACTTTCACTTTAATTTTCATTCCCTTGCAACTACCCTATTGTAAAGAGATGTTGTAGGCATTACATCTCGATATACGAATTACCTAACACTAAAATATTTTTTTAAATCGAACCAGTAGTTCTTGAGATTAGCGCGTTCAAACAAACAAACAAACAAACTCATCAGCTTTATATAATAGTATACGAGTATAAGATAATATTATTATGGTAGTGTTTACAATAAACAAGTTGTAAAAATAAACACAAACACCGCAAATCAACTCGAAGCGAGCGAAATCATAAATATTTTATTACGCAACAGTTATTCAACTTTAAGCGTTATGCGATAAATATACATAATTAAATCACCAAAACTTAGTTGGAAAAGTATTTATAATTAAAAAACTCAATTAGCCAGCCGGCAATGAAAGTTTATCGCGAGTTTCTTAACTTTGTCGTCAGCATGCACGCAGCCCAACTCTGAAACTGTTCCCCGCAAAATTTAAACGAGTAAAGTTTGTTTCAGTTAGCTTACTCAACTGTCCGGTACCCCCCATCCTCCCAGTCGGGGGGCAACAGGGGGCTGGGGGTCTGGGGGTCCTCCGGCTGATATAGGCGTGTGTTAGACACGAGACAATGTTACTTTGATCGTGCCCCTGTTTTATGAAGGACATCAATACCAAAGAAGCGAAAATTCTTTGTTACTAATTCTATTGAAAGTAAATATGATATGGAATTGTTGAGGGTTTCCCTTTGTTCTTTGATTCTGTTTTCTTATTACATTCTTTTACGTGTATAAATGTTACAATATTTTCTTAAATTACGATTGTTGAAAAAGGAGAGCTGAATATTATATTTAGATTATTGATCGAAAGCTGTCCTTTTCCACGATGTGCGTATTTCGAGTTCATAATCTTCAAAAGGATAGGAAAACCTTATGTAAAAATAGACACTTCTTTGTACTTATCGTAACATCCCAGCCACGTGCGGCAAAAAATATACGCACCTTTGAGAAATTGATTATAATGGTCTTATTTTAGGACTAAGAAAAGGCTATTTTCTATTTCATTGTTTACTTAAACACAATTTAGAACAATGAATCTAGCCTCCATTGTATGTTTCATTACTTAACGAATTAATTCTTAAGATTTCGCAACGCTTTGAGCTTCTGCGATTAATTTGTCAGGCTTTTCAGAGAGTGACTGTGGTGATACAATGGCTCATTATAATTTTATACATTCTTGTAACGGGGCTAGACTAACAAAAGCACAATTTATGTTTTCCGTTAAAGTATTTGCATTTTCCTCGGTGTTGCGGGGTGGGAGCCACGAGCCGCGCCAGACGTTTCATCTCAGTTGATGGATACAATATGAGTGCATTGTCTAGGGAACTAAAACCTTTTGCTTATGACCGCTCCGGGAAGTTTTACAGCAATAAAGCCACTTGCGAAACTCCACGCGGTTTTTTTCGCATCGTACGTATTTTGTTTTTATTTGGAAAATCCGGCGCTCAACTGTTGTTCGGTGAATGAACGAATATTTAATATTTGTTTTTACTCTCTGTAGAGTAGTGTAGTGCTTCGTTTTGTATTCGAATTTCTATACGGATGTGAGGTATCCGTTTACGTGTTTATCGATAGTTATACGACTGTAATGTGATCTTTAGATCTGGGATAGTGGCGGTACTTTAATAAGGGTATGGAAGGTAATTGTTGGAGATACCGTTAGAGTTAAAGTACTTACATGTGCGTTACCCAATACAGGCAATATATTTGAGCAGAGGCGGAATAAACTCCATCGGGGTTTATAGATAGGTGTTGTATCTAAACCTGTTATCTGCGGTATCACGAACTGGGAGCTAGTCGGTACGCCAGCAGGAAATTGAATGAGAGTCGCGAGAGACGCGAATGTGTGCCATAGACGTAATGGTTTCCTGGTCGACTACTAGCTGCTACCTACCTACTCGCTTCTACAGACTAAAGCCATACAGTAAAACTTTTAATAGATTCTGAGAGAGATGTATATGATAGCATTTCGATTTAAAGTTACAAGCGGTGATGACTGTTCCTGGGAAATTTCCGTTAGAACCACGTTTATAAGTTGACAGTATCCACATGATACGTATCGTATGTATATCTGGCAACTCCTGTCTGAGTGTATTAGTACTCTTTTAGATTAATTACTTTAGTATTAGTATACTTTTAGATTAATTCGACATGCAATACAAAGTGCCTAGTAAACGAAGCTAGTACTGCAGAAGACATAAAAAATGACAATGCTTCTAAATGCCTTTTAAAGGTTAAATTTCTAATATATAAACATGTCAACCTTATCGTAAACAAGTTAACTCACAAAGTGATATAACTGATGACCATAATAAACTTCGAACTTTCCTTTGTCAGAACGACCACTAGCAGGTTTAAAGGCTACGATATTAATTTCCATCACTTTCGCAAACAAAAACCAGCTAAATCCGTCCCCTGATCCCGGGGCCATGGGCCGGTATTAATCACGACGTAATCTCACCAAATAGAGCGACCCGCGAGCAAAATAAACAGTAATGGCTGCAGGCAACGTTGCGTAACCATGCTGAGCTGTGCTGAGTCACCGCGCCGCCGCCGCCGCCACGCCGCTCCGCCACGCTCATCAGTGCGTGACTTCACAAATACTTACCGCTTACGATTACTACGTAGCCTTTCCAGGCCATAATATCGGAAAATGATTTGACCGTGAAAAGGGCTTCATTGTATTCCACTGTTTCATCCGTAGAGCGTTCTCATTCGTTCCACAATATAATGTTACGATACTGAACAAACTAAGCAACGTTTCTGCTTCTCTGAATTACATTTGCAAACATTTACAATCATGCTCCATACCGTCGCGTCGCCTTGAGCAGCGCGTTATAAAGATACTAACTGTATCCTTTACATTTATAATTACACAATTGTTATTCCATTGTCTTTGTTGGGTTTGGTGTTAAAATTCGTTGTTGCGCCCCACAAATAGTTTCGAGCAAGCTGTCCACACAGCGCGGGTGACCCTGAATGGTCCAATAGCGTTAGTTAGCAAACAGACGGATACAGTAGGTCTACATGTAGTATAACAGCCGTTTGTAGGGGGAGATGGGGGGAGGGGGGCGGGTTCAACGCACCGGATACGTCTGTCGCCGGGCACTGGCTTGTATGCAATACACTGGAACAGGTGTGCGTTTCATGTCAATGTGTGTGTTGTAACATTGACATAAATACTAGTGCAATCGTGTACACGTTTAACTCCGCCGTACAAATAGGTATCCGAGTGTGTGTATGTAGATTGTATGTGTACGGTGAATTATTGCTGCACTTAACACGATATACGTGGGCAACTATACTAATGTTGATTTGTGGAGGTGTACCATTATGTGGGGCATAATGTTTACATGTGATACGAGGTCGTAAAGGCAACTATCGATGTTCTGCATTAATTAATATATAAATACAGATTTATGTTCTGGTCGGAATTAGGTATGTGTGCTACCAGCATGCATGATGCTAATTAAACGAGTTGCTACGTACGAGTACCACATAAACATTATACTTAAATAGGCGTTAAATTATGTTGAAATTGTAGCAGCTCAACTGGAAATTATTACTGTTAGAATTGATTAACATTTCTCGTTTCATAAGATTAACATAATCGACGTAAGTTTTTTTGTTACATAAATAAGTATCTACGATACGAGGGGAAATTGCTTTTGAGAAAGTTGCTTCTATATTTAGCAGTATTATTGTTGGACTAACAAAAGAAAGTCTTTAGCCAATACGAAGCCTGGTTCGTCGCACCAGTAACAAAGACTCAAGCAATAATGGTGCTTAACACAACAGTAGATTCTAGCAAACATAATCTAATAGACCCTTTCTTTGAAGATGATGAAAATAATCGTTCTACGAAATCCAAGAATTTCTAGCAAAAAAATCTTGTGTTTTTTGCGTAAAAGGTAAAGTTCAAGGCCTAAAATGAAATTGGTTTTGTTAAGCTGTTGGGAATCATGAAACTTAATATAATCTCTTTTACCTTTTGCCTTGACTGATATTCCGTTAAAATGTCAAGTAAAAAGCCATTTTCTAACTCTTCCATTATTACAAGACCATTTTAAGACTTTCAAAATGGAATTACGGACACAAAAGATGGCCAAATTGATATAGAAACTAAACTAGATAGAGGTTTATCTTCCACAAATATTGTAAAAAATCCAATTCTTCTTTCATCTCTTCTCTTCTAAACTATTTCTCTTATTTCCAGGAATGGGACCCAAAGCAAGCAGGAGCAGACGCTGGTCTTGATACCACATTGCTCTCCACCTTGTCTTCCGAGGCCGCAGACTGGCGAACCATACAAGATGGCCAGCGTATCCTGACCACGACTCCTTCGGTGTTGGGAGGCTGTAGAGCTCAAGTCTACCGGTCGGCCGGTGCCACGCAATGGTACACTGCCGTCATCGTTGGAGTCAACGAACATACTGGAGTGAGTATATCTATAGACTAGCTTCTGCCAGCGATTTCGCCCGCCTTACATGGACAAAAAGTAGCCGGTATATTATTGCAAAAAATAAGGTATCTCTGTGCCAAATTTCGTTTACATTTGGCCTGTAGCTTTTCTGTAAAAGAGTAAGAAATATACGTATATATTTTCACAAAAGGAGAATGGCAGGTTTGTATGGAAGTTTTGTACCGCTATAAAATTTTGTATTAGTCATTGTTTTAACCAAGTGAATAGTCTGAACGATAGATATTTTTATTATGAAGTTTAGAAAAAAATTACATATTTTTAGAACTTGGGGTTCAAAAGTTATTTCACTTTGAAAATGTGCAAAAGGTATGTTAAGGTGGTACCACACTTGACATTGCGTAGTCGCTTCATTTGTCCAAATATTTGTAGACTACGTACAAATGGCGTCCAAATAGTATCTCTATATGTAATGGCTTGCAAATATATAGCAAACAAAGAAGAATAAATCCTCCAAACATGTTCTTTTTTGGCCGAACATAACAAATACGCAACGTCAAGTGTAGAGCCACCGTAAGCAAAATATCTATTACAAATGACAGATGACAGTTAACTGAAAAATGTCAATGTGCTCTCATGTGGTTGTTTATTTACAAAAAACAAAAATCTAAAAATACTGCTCGCTACTCAATTGACTATTACACTTTGTATTATTAGAAAGAAAGAAAAACCATTTATTTTGATACGACACACAACAAGAATTTAGAAACCCAAAAAATAACCTATGGTGCGTCGCAGCGCAAAAGGCAATTAGGAATGATCCTGTTAATTCAGCAAGCATGATGCACCTATAGAGTTTTAAAGAGTATGCCTCACAATCTTTTTCATTTCTTAGGTGGCTACGAAAATGCAAATTCATAATGTAAGCGACTGTCATTGGGTAGAAGGCCTACATTTAGCAGTGGAAGTCTTGTGGCGGATATGATAAAACTAATGTCTCACTTCACCTTGAATCTTGCAGGTAGATAGTCTCAAGGGTCTCAAGTTAATTCGATTTAAAGCTTAGCTCTTTGAGAAAGTATTTCTTCTGAAAACTGGTTGCTTAGCACGTAAGGATTAATTTCTAATAAGTAAGTCAAATTAGTAGAATCATCAACATTTTCATCATTAAGTCTATAAGTGGCCACTGCTGACCGAAGCCTCTTCTCGCATGGAGGTTTGAGCATTAATCACCATACTAGCTCAATGTGGGTTGGTAATTCAAACTTATAATAAGAAATTATAAGCCCATGTTTCCTCACAATGTTTTCCTTCACCATTCGTCAGCGGTGTCTTTGTACTTTCTTAGATTATTGAATATACCAATAACTCGGAAAAAAGACACATTGGACAAAAGGTACTTTGCCGTTGGTAGGTTTCGAACCCGCACTCTCATGCATGAGAAGCGGGCTTCTTAAACCTCTGGGCCACCACATTACAACTAAAGAAAATGTAAAATGAAAATGAACATTTTTGGTATAAAACTAAAGTTATCTAAATTAAATATGGCATTTATTTTATAGATTGATTCTTAAAATCACTTTTATCAAGATGGAATATATAGTTACTTACTAGGTTAAAATAAAACAAATGTATTATTTTGAAATACTTTTATTTCATTGTATTCAGGTTGTTTCTAGGAGTACTTCATCTAAAAACAGGCCGTGTCATAGGTACAGCAGACATCAATTGCTGATATCTGTAAACAAGTAAGATAACTGTAAATAAAGTAAACAAAAGTACATTTTTTTCCTTTAGTTTTATATGTTATAATAATAAGTCTGATTCCCTATCTTAAAATGGAAAAGATAAAAATAAATATTTGATTACATTACTTCATTTTATAACATTTATTATAGTTATTCGTATAACACAGATCATAGGAGCTCAAACAGCATGCTAATTAATAAATTATAATTATAACATGAGTATAAACCTATTAGAAACCGCTTATATACTCCACATAGATACATAATTATGTAGGTACATTATATTGAGAATGCATACCTGTTGAAGCTTTGAGAGCCGAACAACATCATCCGGCCTCATCTGTTCTACAAATGGTAATGTTAAAGTGAGGCTTAGTCCATGTTTACATAATACATTACTTCCTGATAGTGAACACTGTGAGGTGGTATGTCAGGTTGTGGTTTTATAGTTTCGACTCTTGTACGGTCTCTCAGTCAGTATGGAACATGATCTTCATCATGGGAAGTAAGCTAAAATAAGTAATATTATTAGAATATGATATTGACTTTAGATTACACTGTATATAGATAATAGTATGGTTAAATTATGCTTTATTACCTCTTGTGGCTGAATCCAATCAAATACTATATGAGCCAGTCTTTACTCCTGTTTGTTGGCGCCTTCAATTAAAACCCTGCGTCACCTTATCATTGCAATGAATCACCCATATACGACACAAACATGCCAGTGACCAATTTGTTTGCTGGACATACTTTCAGCAACATCCCGATACATTGCTAATTGCCAGCAAGCATTGCAAATATGGTCGGTAGGAGAGATCTAGAATAAAAAGAATAAAATGATACATTATGGGTAGATAACACTATGCGCCTTCTTTTATTCAGGAACATGGTGACTTTCGATATGTTATGGGTAAACTAGGTACTTACATCTCTAGGATAAGTCCACATTGGGATATTGTTGACCACGTCTAATCTTCACTCTCATTTTCTAGAGCATGCCGCCTCATGTGCGACAAACTCTGAATGCAATTAATACACTGTAAATTCATCATCGCGACAAATAACAACACACTGCACAAAATAATGTAAATAAGTGTCTTTTCGCAATTGTCGCAACAATGATGCCAATAATACCAATTTAGGCTACGGAGGAACGGTTTCCAAACTCAACGTATCACCAGATGAATAAAATAACTTCAAATTCAACAAACACATCATAACATCGCATTTGAAACAAATAGCAATGCGCCAGTATTGACAAATTAATTGTCAATGTCATCAAGACAAATGCCAGTTCAACATTGCCATAATATTCAAGTTTGTTAAAATGTTAATTATCATTAATAATCCATGTAAACGTAGATTTAGATTGGATGTAGATTTTTATATTTACTTATAAAAATGTTTGAAATGGAAAGGAAAATATTTCATTGATAGATATTAAAATAAATGAGTTTATGAAATAGCGAAATTCAATATGCTCTGATTTCATCTTTACGCATGGCAACTTTGTAAACGTCAATCGCGGTTCGTTTTACGTATAGTGGATTGCTTTTTATTATTATTGAATATCAGTTTTTCTAGGGTTTCCCAAGTTTTAAAAATCTATTAAATATGCTAACATAACGTACTTAGAAGGTTCTATAATGACCCAATTTTTTAATGACAAATCTTTTTTTAGCGAAGCGGTACAAAATCTGCCGTTCTCCTTTCGCATTTATATTATTAGGAGTAGTATAGGATATCCGAGAAACGTTGGCACGTGTATAATATTTGAGGGTCTGTGAAGTTTGTGGAACTATTTGATAATACACGACCTTCAGTTTCTTTTTTTAGAATTCACTTTATTTTCCTTGACTGTAAGTAGTGTAAATATACATACATACATACATAACCTCACGCCTGTCTCCCATAGCCTATCCGGTAGAGACTATGGAACGCCTATTATTGCTAATTAATGGTGTATTAACATATGCTTGTACTGATCCAATATAATTTGTTATCCGAAGGGGCTAAGCGACTCCATAAAATCAGACTCGTTTTTCATAATTAATACCTAAGTCGGTTAAGTTGAATAAGTAGTTAAAGCTGTATATTATAAAGCAAACAAGAATGATGTTAAAGTAAATGATATGTAAAGATGAGAGTCTCTTTGAAAGAACCAAATAAATGGCTTCAATCGTATTTGGATACGTAATTGGTTTTAAAAGAATTGTCTTTACTTTTAAAGTCTTTTAACTGGATTTTGCAATACATTTGAAAGTTTATGATGTACTTACAAATAAGTTATTCGACTTCCAATATTAATAAAAAATATATAAAGTTCAGTAAACATATTTATAGTTTTAATACCAGAAAGTTCAACATTAACATTTTGTTCTTCAACTTCCATTTATGTTCTCGTCTTGTTCGAGCTCAAATCGTTTCTCTTTATTTATTTCGACAATTTAACAAAATCCATTTAATTTAATGAGAGGAATGCTCCAGAGAATTTTCTTATCGCATAGCTATAAGCTTTAGCCAACAATAGGTCCACCATCTCCAAGGAATACCTTAAATAATTGAGTGCAGGTGAACACTATAACATGTACAGGTAACTGTACAAGGAATTCTACGAGATAATTTCGAAGCGGGAAGTTCTGTAGAGAACCAGTTTGGTTTATTGAACGCGATGGCATCCGACAACGATGTTCAATTTATAAGGGCGCTCATAAGTAACGAAACAACTTCAACAGCGTGTTCGTTACTCGATCAACTTGTACAAACCAGTTCTGCAGAACGTCGTGTCGCGCCATAAAAGACTACACGGAATCCTGAACTTTCCACATGCTTCCAATTATAACGCTGCCTCTGTATTGGTCCAACGGCGCCTGTTGGAAATGTACGAAACCTGTTCACCTCTTATTGACGGATAACCAAGTACTTCGATGGAAGTCGTTAATTCAAAGGCAGATATGGACGTACAACACGTTCGAGTAACTGCTGATGTCGAGTAGCATGTAGTAGATGTATAAGAAGTTAGTAAAGCAGCGACTCAATTAATGCCGACAGCATCCATGTGAGGTAACGCTGACGGAGATTTAATTGAATTCTGTGATCGATGGGACATGCGTAGCACCAAGTGCCGTTCAATTAATTGTAGTCCATTAAATTGGCTTTAATGTCAAAGTTTGTCCTACAAGTGTTGTGCTATCAGAACTGGTAAAGTTTAAAACGAATTATTCTGATGAGAATGAAAACGAGAAAACTTTGCATGCGAACATTAATGTTTGGGAAAGTAACATGGTTGCTACTTTTAGTTTACAACGATAATATCCTCAGAATACAAAATTTACGCATGTCTGCTCCGGGATTAATCTGTGCTAGCAGCGAGAGCTTGTTGTAGTTGAATATTAATATCCATAATTTCAAATTCCACCCGTATAGTACTTGAAACGCCAACCGTACATTGTTTGCGGATCAAGGCCGGCTCACGATATTAACTGGGATTCAGCAACAGCTTAACTTGTTACATAATATTAGTTTCCCATGTAAACTCAAGTATCATGTACCTTACCTTGATATTCATTAGCGGGAAATGTAAACAAGTATCGAATGAAAACACATGTAAACAAGTACATATATACCCACTTAGGTATTATGATCGTAATGAAAAATTCATGCTTACGTCTTGTGAAATATTTATTGTAAACGTTGCCAACGTTTAATGTACCTTTCAAAACAAAACTAATGATGGATCATTTTAATGAATTGCTTCAAAAGAATATTTTGTTTGCGTCAAACAGTACCTACTACCTACTCTGATGTTATCAACTCCTAGAGGCATGTTATTATTTTGTACCCAACGTTTTTTACAAGCAGAACCGCTAACCACATTATCTGATACATATTTATTACGGCCATCGGTCATAATTATTTATGAGAGGAAGTTGTAACCGTCTGCCTGCGTGTTCTTGATGCTTATTAATTTATTATTGTACAATCATTTCCTTTAATTGCTTTTACACGCTTTGAGATCAATATAAATTAATTAAATACTTGAGTAACGTGAAAACATTAATGAGATTCAGTTTAATCAGGTTATAATCCATATCGTGTTCGACCAATTCATTATGGTAGTTTAACTGAACTGTATCGAAAATACCGTGGCGTGTGGGTGGGATGGGGTTGGGTGCGCCCCGTTTCTCCCCATTTACCCCTTCACTAACTTCTCTAAACAAACTTTGTTGTTTTGCGTTATTGAAACACTTTATTGTTTTTCTTTCATCTCCTCTCCTTTGAGGATGGCGATGTCGAAGTTGTATTGTTCGTATCTAAACGAAATGTTACTGTTTGGATTGCTTGTTAAATGTTTTTGTTTTGGGACTATTTGGTTTAAAATGTTTCAGTAACTTTTCTTTGTATTGTCTGAATAATTTTTGTGGTTCACGTTTTGCTTTTCTGCTTTTCTTTACCACGATTTTATGAGCATGAATTAATGTTATTGCAAGTATATCGTTTATAGAGTGTATCTACTTGGAGAGATGCTATTAATTTAATTCACGTTCATAATTTAATGAACGTTATTGATTTTCCTCATATTTAATAGTCAACATGGCTTACTATCCACATAAAGTTACTGGTTTTGAGGATAATCAAGAAGGAAATAATATCACACAAATGTATTTACGAATAATCTTTGGAATAATAAAATGTTTTACGTCTGTTTTCCTTAAGAAATGTTAATAGATGAGATATAGAATGAAGGTTCTCATGTTTAGTTAAGAAGTCCCATAACCCGACTTCTACCCGTCCTTGTTCAGAAGGTGATTGTGAACTGCCAACTACAATTATTACAATTACTCATCAAACTCTTCACAGACTCTGTCAGAGTTTCAGAGTACTTCAATCTATCTCGAACTTTGCTAAGTAATTACAGTTAAAAAGTTGAGACGTTAAACAAATTTATACTGCGAATTAGCGAGTGGAAAACTTCGTTCGTAGTTGCCTCGGGTTCGTATTACTGGCGTCCGAAACGTCGAAGTTTTGAGTAACCCCCTCATCCAACCCCCTTTCCTTGTTTCGCAAGTAACTTTCTTAAACTTACTTCTTTGTTTCCAGTAAGTTTGCGTCTAACTTTGTCTCACTGTCGACATGTTTATCGACAACTCTATTTGTTTATTCTATCGACATGGCGAGAATCGTTTTCGTTTCGTTAATACTTTATGTTTATCATTCACGGGGCGTGTCATTCGTCACTATTCAATTATTATTAATAAGCCAGGTGTAAGTATATTAGCTGGTGTTAAAATGTCAGAGTATTGTCGTGGAATGATCCAGTCCTTTTTATTTGCGGCTGTTTTATCGATTTAACTCCTAGTAGGTGGCTAAGTACGTTCAAGGTTACATTCGCTTATAACACCTGTACCCAGTTGCCGAACGACATAAAACAGAGACGTATTTGTTTACGCCATCTTTTCCCGAACCGAAGTCGGGCGTGAGAAAGTTTAGATGGGAATTTAGGGAATCTTGTTTGCTTACGAATATAAAACACCTGCCAAACTTCGTGTTTTACTTTCAAAGAAATTGCTTATTTTTATACAGAGAGTATTCTTGTTTGTACGATGGAATGGAATTTATTAATAACATCGATGAAAGAGCTAAATTAAATATTTATGAGACGGCCTTTTTGGCTTCTTTCAAACTCGTTTACAAATTCTGTATGGTATCTTATAAATAAATATCAAAAGTATTAACTATCGAGTAACCACGCAGTTCTAGGAAAATCGATGTCTGCTACGTTCTAAACTAGATGGCGTTAGCTGTAGCTATGTGAACCATTATCGAGCGAAGCAGACGTGAGCTGTAATAACGGTATCGGATCATCATAGTTGATCGTATTTCCATATCTGGTTCTATAAACAAGGCAATTTCTATGAATCCGGTCTATGTAGAAGTTCTATAGACGAAATATAATTAAATTTTGTAATGTTTTGTTCACAGGAGCTGACTGTAACAGATGATACAGTTTTGGAAGAGCACAGCGAAGACCCATCGCTAGTGCAGATGAGACTCCTGGGCGATGGAGGTAATTACAAACTATGTTTACATTACCTACAGTACACAACACAGACTATTCATTCGAAAAGCAATCAACCAATGGAGTTGAAACAATGCGAAACCGTTTCCCTTTGTCGCATTACGCACCATTATTCTGGTTAACGATTAAAAGGATCGTCATGATTGATTACGATAACATTTATGTGGGTACATGGAAACAATGGGATCTGGTTACATAACCTACACGCTGCAGTGAACAATCTTCGTCCAGCCATCTGTGGAACAATGGCCGGGTTTCACCACGCACAGTTATGATTTATTCTTAATGTGTTTTTAAATAGATATCGCTCGGCTTGTTTTAAGGTCGACGTTAAAAATGTATATCTTAACTGCTGACCCGATTAGGAGACAACGCATAAACACGCGTATCTCGTACACACGACCTTTGTTCAGAAAAAGCAACAAAAGTCAATTTGCCGAGTCTTTGAGGCATTTACTTTAATCTAATAATAGAAAGTTCATAAGTTGATATCGGCTTTTGTTTAGTTTGTCTGAGAATTTATTAAGTATACGTACAAGTTTCTTGAAACAATGAATATAGCTCGGGGCATCGTAGAGCTATGAATGCGAAGATATCTTTTATAAATCGATCCTTTGTTTAGATAGCAGCTGACAGACTAATAGCAGTGCATTATTATATTGTGCAACCGTGTGTGCCAACGGCTATTGCAATGAGAACATAGGATGGGTGTTGTAAATACTTTTACGTGCATAATTGGATTGAAACCTTAGTAATTGACGTTGCAATATTATGCTGCAAAGAATATGCGCTTACAAATGGCTTAAGTCTAATAAGAAGTGACTAACATCGAAAGAGACAATTATGTTATATGAAAATAAGTTAGTTTTATTTATAGAAGAAAACTATTAAAGGATAGTTTTGAAATAATTATATTAATTGGTTTAAAGACGTTTCTAAAACAAACGCAAAGTAGTAAAAAATATGTTCTTCGAAGAAATTGATATTTTCGTCACAAATTCTATTTCAATTTACGTGTATAAAGCTGTTTTTCCTCCATAAATCCAATGTTGACTTCACGTTTTTATTTTCAGTAATCGAATCGATCATGAAAGGAGAAGTGGTGGGCGTAATGCCACGAAGATCCCGCTCCAACCTCCAAGTAAGTTGACTAGCTAATAATCTGTCTTGAATATTTAATTAAGTCAGAGTTCCGAGCTCCGGCAGCATAAAGGAAATTTATCCAGTTCCAACGAGACGATGTTTCTCGAAGCTAACAGTATAACGTTCAATGTTTATGTGCCCACATTACTTGTTACTTACCATCGTTCGTATAATTGAATTTTAACAGATTTTGTACCTCAAAATAGAAGACACTTAAATATAACGTCTATTACTACGAACTGCGTAATACAAACTCGGTTAGAATTTACATTCCCAGTATAGTAGTTCCAAATGTGAAGAACGTATCTACAGTTAATTTCTTAAAAGCAAACAAGATTTGGTTGAGCCGAGCCTACTTTAAAATGTACGTTGAATGCAAATTAGTTAAGTGTATATGTATGTTTATTCAAGTAGCGTTTGTCTGTCTATCCGTCGGTTATTTTGGTGTTCATGTCGCGACAAGTCCCGGCGCCTGATGACGCACTCGCCGCCATTATCCTGAACCCGCACCGGTTCAGCTAAATATGGTATAAGTGACTAACTGGTAGGTGTAGCTACTGTCTCGTTGGATGTTACTGATTGGGAATTAGATGAGGATGAATCGTTAGATTAAATTGATATTGATGTTCTTATAAATACAGTAGAAGTAGTGCATACATTTGTTTACGTTAACGATGACTTTGTAAGAATAGAAATTGAGACAAAGAAGATGTGATAACTTTATATTAGAATAACGTGAATACTATTCGCTATTGTGGCACAAATCGATCGGCTCTAGCCACGCCATTGTGCTCTAATCCACTAAACATTTATGACAACAGTGTTGTAGACTTGAAGTCAACCGCAAAATGTTGCCAGAACATTGTTTCAATAGAAACAAGCTCTGTCGCTCGTACTCCAAATTCGAAACGATGGAGTTTCTGCACTACTGAACTCATTTGAATATTGGAATAGTCCCGTACTAAGAAGTTCGAGTCTCGTATTGTTTTAATGTTAATCAAAGATTTAGAGTAAAGACTACAGACACAAACGGAATAATCCATTCGAATAATATAATATTGAAATACGTATACGTTGGCTTTAAAACTTCTCGGGAGATCCAAATATAGTGCGAGCACGGTTACAAGTGTAAGATAATTAGATTTGCGTCCATAAATATGTCCAGTCTAATTTTGATTCTGAGTGGATGTATTTGTGTAGTTAATTCAAAGGGCTTTCGCTAATGCAATGGAGTGGACATAATATACTGGTAGTTTAGACGCAGACGACTGTTGACTTTTTATTTATCTGCAGGTCTTTGCAGTTGTTAAGCGAGTAGTGCTTTATTTGTACTACTTAAGATAAAGTTTTGATTTTCTTTTTCTACGTTTGTGCAAAGTTTTTTATTAGTTGCATCATTTTGTGAAATGATTACGTATATCTTAGATACGTAGTCGATTTCTCTACTAGCTTTATTGTCCGGAAACCTCTACATCACATAAATTTCTATATCCATTATTTTATCCTTACATGAAGGTGAAACAGCAATTTCACTTCCACGTTTAAGAAAATCTAAGACCTTGTAAACGTCTGAGATACTTCGGATTTTATTTTTATTAAAATATTTGTCTTGCTCAAGACAAGGTCCAAGGTCTTAAAGATCGGGCGCTCCAAGGTCCCGACATTCACGAAGGACGCTTCTTCTACCCTCAGATGGAATTAGTTTCTGAATAGGAATGACTAATTATGTGGTTCACCTTCAAATAATCTTGTCGTTCTTGTCAAAACGTTATAGACTATTACGATGTTACTAATCTGGTTATTCTAGAAGAGTGATTGCGTTTTCAGGTCAAATCAAAGTTTTGTTAATAGACTACAGTTTTGCTTCGTTTTCTTTGTCTCTTTTATTGTCAGACTTACAGGATTTTGAATAAGATGTGTGTTAGGCTGATCAATAATTTTGGGGTTTATTTATATGATGCTATTTTATCATCAACTTTCTGTACAAAATATACCTTAACATTTTGATGCCCAATAGGTAAATAGTAAAAGAAAATGTATATTAGAAGAACAAAGACCGGCGCGAATGTACAGATAATAACAGTATAGTAACAACAGATACAGATTAACATAAAATGAAGACAAAGAAAGTCGTCAGTAACTACGCAGTGACCCATTCAAACCTCAGGATGTGTAGTTATTATTCACAGAGACCAATCGTTCTGGAACTCGGACCTCCAAACTAGTGGTTACCTTTATTTTGTAGGTCGCTCTATCAACCTCATCGAAAGGGTCTTTTTAAACTGGTCCTATTTAGAACACCCACGCTTACTTTCATATTCCTTTGAACCCATATACGAATGTACCTATTTGAATAATCTTTGGTCGAGAACATAAACGAGGTCTCGAGTCTAGCAATTATATTATGTAGTTTGAGTATAAGTCTCAAATAACATGATTAATTAGCTTTCATTGCCAAACTGGACTGCGAAATATCTGTTTTACATTTAAATTGCTCTGTCAAAAATAATATTAACTTCGTGAAAATACACTTTGAACAGAAATGAAAACGTGTTTCAATGGTGAGTAGGTACAGTCGTCGTAATTCGTGTCACCCTCTATAAAACATATTTCTTTTTGAAAGCCAGGAGGCAATGAGCGAGATTTATTGGTGCATTGTACATGGACGTCACGTACAGTCGTGCAATGGCCGATAGTGCTCATCTCGTATGCCACCACTACACTAGGCAATAGATCTCATCTGGCCATGTTTGCCGCACGGAGCGGGCGACACGCGTCTCTTTCCTCAAAATACTCTTTCAAAATACCACTATACACTTTAACAATGTCAATCAATTCTCCAACAAAAGATCCCACTCGAATATCCCAACAATGACGCTAACATTGTTTAGCTTCGAACACTGCACTACTTTCCACGTACCAAAAATATGAAAAAGACATTTGAAAGCTCTTGTAGTTTGTGACGTGAATAATTCACATCGCATCCACTCCGGCCGGCAACAAAGCAGTCAAAACAATCCCACATTTGCATACCCAACGGAAACCTAGTTTGACATTCATAAAGGCGCAATTTAATAATTTATGCTCAATTAGTGCAAATTCTTGTTCCTCTTACCTCTAATTTTAATTCACCCGAAAATTCAGCTCGACGTAAATCCTGCAAATAACGCGATTAAGCCGAACATTGCGCTCCGATTTGACAAAGGGGGAGCGAAGCAATTCGCTTCGTAGCAATTTGTCTGGTTCAGTGACCCTTTTCGGAGACATGAGTATTCTCCCGGCTCAGAACCCATAAACAATTCATCTTACGAAATCTACGCACAGCGATAGTAGATCTAACCGGGGCCATTATGAATGCTCTTAGACTATCGATTCAAAAACTACATTCAAACAAATCATCTCCACTTCTCCCCCTTGCCGTGCTGTAATAGCACCGTCTCTTTCCGCACGTGAGTGGAATGCTAAACTGTAATCCTAACTCAAGTTGTTCCTGCACGTTCTACGAGAATACTAAAAGGGACTTTGAAAAGTGCACTTTTAGAGTGTTTTTAGTTTGCACGCGACAACTTGAAGTGCAGGTGTTCCGTGATCGTGAAACGGCCATTGCTTGGTTCTTTTTCTATTAACTTTCCAGAATTGAACGGTCAAGAAGCATCTGGAATAGCTTTTTGTCTAACTCTAGCCCCTGCTTGTTATAAAAATTTCAATCGAAAGTTGGCGCCGGTTGCGTCGTAAACATTTATTTACAACTCGTTTTAAACTTTGCTAATGACCTGGTCTTTGGTGTGGGAAATCCGGTTAGTCACGATCAGGCAGTCTTCAGCAATTTACTAAATGAAAACATTGTTTGACGTAATCGTTTTGGCAACCTTACCTATTGCTTTGTGTTGCTCGCGAACACGACTCTGTAATAAATCTGACACTTTTGCAGCTGTTGAAATTCGTTAGATACGGATTATAAAAATACGTTACTTAATACATTTTATTTGCACTAGTTTTTCTTTTGATAAATTGTAGTCATTTTTATTATTATCCACTCTTTACTGATGTGGGTAGCCGCTAAATACGTCGTGTGAATGTACTATTAATTTATATCCGATCAACAAAAATGGGACACATTACTTGAATGGATTTTTATATGCTGCTAAGGAAGTAAAATATTTCTCAGTGGGCATATATACAGGTTTATAGCGTCTTAATTATTGGATAACCGAACATTTATGGTAACGTAAGCAATTAAAACTAAATTACTCAAGATATAATTTAAAATATTTACGACAGGAGTTACACAACTCGATTCAGTTAGCAATTAATAACGAGCCCTTACTAACTTCAGAACCAGATGATATATTTGGATTGGAGGTCGTAAACATTATTCATAGAAATCTAATGATAAATTATTTTGTGTTTGTTAAAGTAAAGACCGCCCGCCCACATGAGAATAGATTTTCTGTGAGACATTGTAAATGGAAGACAAAAGAAAAATAGTAAAGGCCGTAAAATAAAAGTCAGTCTAAACAAGAAATATACTTACTCTAAACATATACATGTAGATGCAGACATACTTATTAAAGACGTAAGGAAGTTTTGCATTCGCACTAACATTTCAGAGAAACCATTTCGAGTTGGAGAAGTGCCAAGAACAACTCTTCACCTCCTGGTCAATTCAAATAAATTATCATTTGAGACTGAGTGTTGATAAACATGAACACAGTGAAATGAAAATTTAATGATATTTCATGCTGAAATATAAACATCTATTTGTAGGTCTTCTATTAAACAATATTTAGGGTAATACTCGGCGTAACCGATACACTGTTTACTAGAGAACTTTGAGTCAATGTAAAAGTTATTAATGGAAATTTCCCAGGGGAAATATCATAGATAAGCCAGCTATCGGTGGCACGAGTTAAAATAACGTTCGTGTTTTCTCACTGAATGTTATTTGAATTTATTTGTCATAAATTCATAAAACGTATTAAAGAGAATGACTGTGAA